TAATTCACTTCATTGTACTGATGGGGTAGTCATAATAATCTGGCCACTGTGTGTGTGTGTGTGTGTGTGTATATATATATATATATCCATATATATATATCTCTCTCATCATGGATGTTTCTAGCTCTCTCTCTCATGAGAGAGAGAGAGAGAGAGAGAGAGAGCTTGGTATTAAATCAAGATAAATAACAGCCATACATGCTGATAGTAATGCTGGCAGCCATTATCTTGAAAATGGGTTATGTTTCAAAAGCTCTTATGATCTGGGTTGTATGGAGCTCAAAGGTTTGTTTTCCCACAGAAATATTAAAAGTGGTGATTAATTCAGAGGCTTGCCCATAAAAGCCCACTTAATGCATAAACAAAATTAAAAGCTATAAGATAATTCATTTGAATTTTTAAAATATTGTAAAATTTATCTTTGCAACTTGGGGGAAATGAGTAGGAAAAAAATGAAGAGGGAGACACTTTTGTAGAGATTTGATAATGTCTTTTGAACCTTTACAGGGGTTTTAGAAACTGATATTATAGCTTCTTTATTTTGTTTTTGCTATTTCTTCTACAGACACGGTTCTCTTTTTCCATTGATACAGGTTCTAGCACTGGTACTTGTCTTTTGTTTATTAGCCATGATTATGGATGTTCTTTGGTCTACGCATGAAATGGAGAAAGAAAGAGTGTAGGCTTTCAGTGTTATCTGCCGTAACCAGGTAAGAGGAGGGATGAGGAATAAGAGAATACGCATGGATCAGTGAATATGTGAGTATTGCTGAAATGAAATGAACTATAATGCTGATAATGGGAAAACAAAAAAGAGTACAATATATATGTGTGTTTTTTAGGAGAAAAAGGGGTGAGGAAGAACAACTGGTCAAACAGCTTCCCATTTGGTTGTTGTTCCTAATGAGCTGGAGAGGGAAGATGGTCTTTCTGAGCATGAACTGATGCCAATGGGGGAAGGGAGGATAGATTTATTTATCGCCCGTCATGTATCAGGCACTGGTATGGTACATATTAAATACAGGTCAAGTGCTTTGTATTTTAATTTCAGCCTCTAACAGTCCTGTGAGGATTGTTATACTCACTCTATGGAAGAAGAAACTGAGGCTCATAGAGGTTAAGTAGCTTGCCCAGGTCATGCAGAGCCAGAAATGAATCCAGTTTTACCTGGTTTGAAAGTATTTCTAATGAGTGGGGGTGCTCTGGGGGAGGTGCAGTCAGTGAGAAGTGCGTGGGGCTGTGGGAAAGAGCCTATGTACTCTCTTCACTAGTCAGAAAATTAAATGAGGAACGGAGGAACCTGTAGTTGAGGCTTGACTGGGGGCTTATATCTCTATATTTCTCTACGTTTTACTGAGAGCTGTTCATTCGCAATAGTCTTTTAGGTCAGAAAAGGAACTGTCGGGGAGGCCACATGGCTGGTATGGAGCCTGTCAGAGGGGAGGGATATGACCTGCCCCAGTGTTTGGGCCGAATGGGAAACAGCCCAAACTATCTCTCATGGGGAATGGGAAGCTGGGGACAACGTGGGAGGGGTTGCCATGTGGCTCTGCGCTGGTGACGGGGGGCATGTGGTGGTGCTGGCATGGTGTGGGCGAGGAAGTCAGAGAGTGGGGTGGGGTATGTTCTGAAAACAGATGCTGGGGTGGCGTGCTGGTGGCTGCTAGCCGGATGCCGCTGGGATCTGTGGGAAGCGGACTTAGAGCTTAACTATTAACTGAAAGCCACACTCAGCAGAGTCTACCATTTGAAATAAATCCTGTTCTGTCAAGCCTTCCCCTGGGAGAATTGAGAAGGCTCCAATGTGTCCACATCGCAAAATACCCTGAGAACACTTCCTAGAATTGCTGAGGAACCTTGGGGGCTCTCTTCTGCATTCTTTCACTGGTGATAAATCTTCGATTTTTGGGAGTGGAATTTAATTCGGAGAAACAAAAAATCATCCGGAGCCAAGTTTGGTGGATTATACTGGTGATTAAATGATGTCACTGAATTTTGGGTCAAAAGTGATAACTGATCATAAAGTAATGAAGCTGATTTTCTTGTTTCCTGGCACACTTATTTAAAAATTACATCGCCTTACATTGTAGTCACATTCCACATAATAGTCTTCTTAATTTAAAAAATTATATGTGAACCAGGAATTCAGGTACAGGCCAGAGCAGCAGCTTTCAGGGTCCATGGTGGACCTGCCCCCCCAGGCCAGACACACCAGCTCTCCTGCTTACCTCCAGTCGGCCAACTGCTGGGTGCCTGCCATGGTCTCAGGAATCACAGTCGCATGCTGCACTGATGTGTGGGTGGCCACTCCAGTCAGCTGCTGCCACGCCGGGGGAAGCAGGATCTGCTGGGTCCCACTGGGCCAGGCCTGCTGTGGAGCGAAGGATGTTTGCAATCAGCATGTTTGTTAATCACAGGAGCAATCACAGGAATTTGCATGATCCAAACACTCAGTATGCTAGACCCTATGATAGGTGTAAAAGAGGAGACCTGGTCTTTGATTGGCTAGAAGAATGTAAAAAACTTATTATTGCAAGGACAGAGTCTACAAGGATCAGGCAAGCAGACATCTCCACATGTTGGGGGTTTCTGAGTTTCTGTTCCAGCCTCGCTAGTGAAAGTGGGTTTTGGATTCTGCCATTTGAAGAGTGACATAAATTAAGTTCCGTCTCAATCAAGAACTGTACTTCCCATCTCTACACCTTAACCTACTCACTCACCATGATGGTGGTGAAGATGTTAGCTCTGGGTAGGGGTTTGGGAGCACAGAGGTGACCGCAGCTTTAGGCAGTATCAAAACAGCATGATCGTTAAGGCAATGCATAAAGATCACTCTCATGTCTCTGAAAGGAGGGCGCAAGATCACACCCTTTCCTTCTGGGCACACATCCTCAGGGTGCCACAGAGGGTCTGTTCCCTTTAAGGACGTGATGCTGCTGGGAGGTGGGGAGGAAAAGGGCAAAGCAAACAAAACTAACACGAGGAATGGATTTGAAAGACTCCCTCTCTACCTCTCTAACTTGCACAAATCAAATCCTTGAAAAGGTTTAAATATTTAGATAAGAAGAATGATGCCAATTTTCTGAATATATTTAGAGTAATTAATAGTATTTGGAGCGCTTCTGCCTGAAACCTAGAAATTTACCCAGAGAAAAATGAAGGCATCAGTTTAAACGTTAATTATTGCTTTTCCTTATAGTTGTTATCATACTCATTTTTATAAGATAGCTTATTTTTGTCCTTTGAAGGGTCCATTTAAAAATATTTAGGGGAGAGCTCCATTGTAACAGGCTAACATATTGGCAGGGATTAAGTGACAAGCAGAGAGAAAACTAAAAAGCAACCAACAAACAAAAGACCCAACATGACACTGGATAGGGTAGGAATTTTTTACTTCGTAGATTTTAGAACTCTTTGCATGTGAAGACGCACTAGTCTACCACGTCCTTTTTAATGCATGGTGTTCCATTTTATGCACACATGAATTTAACAAATCTCCTACAAATGAACATTCAACTGGTTTCCAGCAGTTCCCTGTTATATACACTGTAGCAATTAAACACACACACACACACACACACACGCGCTTTTTGTTCACTTTCCCAATTACAGCTTTAGGTTAAATCCACTTGGAGATTTATAATACTCTAGGGACCCTTTTCCATGTGAGCAAAAGGTAAAACTCTCCTTTGCTATGACTAAAGATGGATGCTGAGCCTGTTGGTTTCCACCAAACTGAACAATGAAGAATGTCTATGTTCGCTAATAAGAGATGCTAATGTAGCCCTGGCTGGTCTGGCTCTGTGGATAGAGCGGCCTGCAGACTGAAGGGTCCTGGGTTCGTTTCCCGGTCAAGGGCACATGCCCAGGTTGCGGGCTCGATCCCCAGTGGGGGGGCGTGCAGGAGGCAGCTGATCCATGATTCTCTCTCATCATGGATGTTTCTATCTCTTTCTCTTCCCTCTCCCTCCCTCTATTTCTAAATATCAATAAAAATATTAAAAAAAGAGATGCTAATGTAATTTCTTTCAGAGATAGTTCTGGGCTTACAAGGGTTAACTGTGCAAACACAAAAAGAGGATTTAAAAGTACCCTTGAATATGCATGTGAATCTCTAGATTTTGGCGTACAGAGGAGTAGCACTGGGAGACTGGCCTGGATTTCTGCTACTCAGATAAAGTACGAACAAGCTGCTTTGCTCTGCATGAGCTATAGTTCTTTCTCTTGATCTACCTTGGCCTTTTCTGAATGCCCTGCTACCAAACTGTGCAAACAGAAGGAAGCTATGAGGACTAGTGCGAGAGGCAGGAGTAGAAGGCCTGCTTTAAACACAGAAGGTTCTCTGTTTATAATGATAAAGATAAGACTTTGCCTATAGGAGCTGGTGTCAGTGGTCACTTGCAGTGTGAATTTGGAAGAACAAAGAGATGAAAAATGGTTAATATCAACCTTAACCAAGCTGTTCCAGAAAACAGAAGAAGAGGTAATAATCAACATATTTTATGAGGCTGGTGAAACCTTGATGCCCAAATCAAATAAGGATTCTCTAAGAGAAAGAAATTACATGCCATTTCTTACTTATGAACACAGATGCAAAAGTACTAACTATAGTATTTACAAACAATCCAGTATTGGAAAGCATACAAACATATCAAACACAACACGGTCAAATAAAGTTTATCTCTGAAACACAGGATAGTTGAACACTGCAAATCTATTAAGCAACTTGCTACATTAACAGATTAAGGAACAAAAATGTGAGTATTTCAACAGATGCAGGAAGAATATTTGGTATTACTTCATTAAAAATTAGCGAACTTGATAAAGTGTCTTTATCAACTATCCTAAACAAAATACCAAATGGCAAACAGCTAAAAGAATTTCCTTTAAAGTTAAGCATGCCCAATATCAACACTTATTAAATATTGTTTTGGAGGTGCTGTCGGCACAGTGATAGGAGAAAAAAAAATAAAAGGTATAAGGATTGTAAAGGAAGAAACAAAACTATCATATGCAAATAAAAAGATAGTCCACATAGAAAATTCAAGGGTATCCATGAAACAATCAGAACTAAACAGAGTTTAGATAAACTCAATAGACCAAAATCAGTATATTCCTATACACCAAAGACAAATAATTAAAATATATAGTGAATGAAATTATTAATGACAACAAAAACTATAAAATATTTAGGAATATTCCAACAAAAGAAAACTTTAATGAAAGGAATAAAACGTAACATATACAGTTGTACCATATTCAGGGATGGAATGACTTAATCCTTAATCTTATTAAACTGTCAGTTGTTCCTAAAGTAAATATAAATTTTAGTCAAGTTCAATAAATACAAGCCAACACTTTTTTTGTGTGGGGGGACTAAAATTTTTATGTAGGAGTAATCTTTAAATTCACATGGAAAAGTGAAGGGACAAGAATAGACAAGGAAATTTTGAAGAATGCGATCCCTACTAGATACCAAGACATATTATAATTAGAACAGTTAAGACAATAGGATATTAGGCCAATGGAATGGAATAGAGAGCCCCAAACAACTATGCAACTTGACTACATTAAAATGAAAACTGCAAACTTCTATTAAACAAAGGACACCATAAAGTGTTTTTGGAAACACTTTGAGAAAAGCCTTTGGGAACCTGCCTTATTTAAAAATAAAGGTGCTTATGGGGGTGGGTGGAAGAGGGCATAGAGGGGATAAATGGTGATGGAAAAAAACAAAATAAAAATAAAGGTACTTCAACAACACTGAGGTCAAGCTGTCCTCGGCAGCAACAACGGAAATGATCATACGGAAGCAGTATAGCATGGCGGTAAATACAGGTGCTGGTGTCATACTTCTGGGGTTTGTGTCCTGGTTCTGTCACCTAATTGCTGTGTGACTTTGTGCCAGTGATTGTGCCTCATCTTCCATTGTTGTCAAAAGGCAACAAATATCTTACTGTGTTGTGGGGCTTAAGTAAAACATAACTAAAGAACCTGGCATAATGATGATGTATCTGTTATTAAAGTTCGTGTCATTACTATGACCGTTGTATCACTGTGTTACCTTAAATTTCCATAACACTTTACAAATTTTCATCACTTTCACCTCCATGATCTCATTCTACCATCAGAGCACCTATATGAACAGATAAGGAAGGTTCCAGCTCACTGCTTCTGTAACCCTGTTTCAACTATAAAATAAATCACCTCCAAGGCTTATTTGGCTCTAAAAAATAATTTCTATTTTACAAGAAGGAAATTTGGGGCAAAGAAATGTTCTCTGAGAGTTATTAGTAGAGTCACAGAGAGTTATTAGTAGAGTTAGGATTAAAACCTGGGTCTCCTATATTAATTTGCATTACAAAGATATAATAATAATCTCCCTAGATTCTCCCTCTGTCTAAATTTCTTCTTGGAATTGTAAGCTAGGCACTTAGGAAGATAATTCACTCGGGCATCATGCAGAATATTACAGAGATATTCTAATGACTCAAAGCACCTAATTCATTGCCAGGGAGGGAATTAGCAGAGATACATCGCTTTTGTGGAAAACATTAACAGGGATAATGGCAATACGGGGAATCATAAAGAGAGAATTACCTGGGCAAGCAGACCTGGTTGGATCTGAAGAGGCTGAGCTCCTGGGGCTTGAGTGACGATGGGAACAGCATTTTCCATTCGCACGGAATAGCCAGCATGCTTCGAGGGAGAGGCCTGCAGCCCTGCTCCAGACAGCGGGCGAGGGAGAGAGGGGTTGAGTGATGCGAGCAAGCTGGCGGAAGACAGCTCTCCCCTCCTCTCTGCACCGGTCCCCTCCAGGCATTACCTGGTCCTTAGGACTCTCCCCTTTCGTTTCTAACTTAAATTAGAAACCAAAAGCAAAAAACAACCTTGAATGGGTTCAAAGACTAGAAGTGAAATCAAGGAGTCTGTAAAGCCAAAAGTGGAATGTTATGCTGATGAGTCACAACAGGAAAACGTGCTTCTGACAGGAAGACACGTGTGTGTCACTACGTCACAGCCGGTGTGGGGAGAGGACAGAGGAGTCCATCTGGAGTGGCCCTGACTCTGAAACTGGGCCCCGACACATGCTTGCCCCTGTGGGGCTTGCCACAACAGATTCTTGGGCTTTCTGTGTAAACTGTAGCCAAGTACATGGTCAACTCTAGCTTCATAGAGGCTCCAGGAGGAGCGTGTTGGGTGTATGGCTGAAGAATCAGCAGGGGTAGCCTGGGAGGTATGTTCTTCATGAGAACTGGCTGCCTTGGCAGTCAGGGATTGGCACTTTCCTATAGATAAGCCACACGGAGGATATTTCATGTGAGGTGTCCAAGAGCTGATACCAGCATGACAATGGGAGCACAACAATGTGCTTATTTAAAGACAGTCATTCCGGGACAAATCACTGGCAGGTGGTGAGAATGACAGTCCCACTGTTTCTCGGCTGGCCACAGTTCAGGGATGCCCGTGCCCATGGAAAGCAATGAAGAGGGCCTTATGCCAGGGAAGTCGGCGTGACGGAGCCCTGCGGTGTCAGAGCCCCTGAGGTGGTCCGGTCAGAAGCAGTGAGAGGTGGCGTCTGCTCAGCCTTACCTTGGAAGCCGGGAGGACACACGATGAGAGCTTGCTGGAAGGGGTCCGGCCGGGCACAAATCTGGGCTGTTCCCGCCTGCAGGGGCATGCTCCGCTGGGCCACCGCAGCCATGGATGCCGCTGAGGGCTGGTAGAGTGCAGATTGGTAGTTTAGTATGGAGACCTCGGGATTGGCTAAGGAAATAGTGGCACTGGTGGAGGTGGGAGCCTAAAGGAATGATGGGGATTAAACAAAAATAAACAAAAATAAAAAATGAGGGTGGTGGCAGGTTGGGAAACACGAATCTAAGTCAAATAAATGAACTCAAAGAAGAACAAACAAACAAAAACCAAGGGCAAAGAAGCAGAAATAGAGGGGAGTGGAAATTCGGTTGGAAAGTCTCAAGGAGAAGCAGGTGCCTGCAGCCACGTGACAGTCGCCTTTGGTGCTGTTCCTGATGTTTGTGGGCCCAGGCAAGAGAGCAAACGATGCTCCCAGACCACAGGTCTAAACACTACAAAGTTAAACATCAGACTAGAGATGATTTATGTTCTGCCCTCCACTTTGACAAACATATCTTCATAACACCGTGGAAAGCCAGGTTTGAGTTTAGGATTCCTGGATTCCCTGGGTTTTGCCCTGGAACATAGTGACGGGGGCAAGCTGAACCCCTGCTCTGTCCCACATTTGAGGGGCTTGGGGTGCACATACATGGACCTGAGGGTACAGCCCAGGAAGAGGCACCTGCAGGCCCAGGGCACACCTGCCTGGGGAGGGCTGGGGGCAGCATTGGTTACAGAGACCCTCAGACGGCCACACAGCAGTTACTGTAAAGAAATATGCTTCAGAAACAGAGAGGGAGCGGGACACACTGAGAGAGAAAAGATGCTAGGTCAAGAGAATTGAAGTGGAGATAGGTTAGAGCAATTTTGAAATTATGTCCTCTCTCCTTTCTCTTTCAGAAAGCAACATCATTTGACATCGAAGTTGTATGTGAAGCAAGATAGCAGAAGGAAAATAACTTCTAAATTGGGAATTGTCCAATTTTACCCCATCTTAGCTTTATTCACACTGATCTTCAGCATGGTAGGTGGAGGTTACCAATGGCTTCAAAGTCACCATTGCTTACAAGAGGGTTGGCCACCAGGGGTTACAAGGACCAAAGAATAAGGAGTAAAGAATCACAAGGACATCTTGGACATGTACAAAAATAGAATTACACGAAGGGTATGTATTTGTGTCAAATTTGATAAAAAGGGTAAAGTCTCATTTTACATATTTTTTTATACTTAGATTTTATGCTGCCTTTCAGTGCAAAGCACATTTATTTGTTTGAGGGTAATTACTAAGGGATGTGGCGCACATGTTTGCATTTTAAGATACACATTGTAATGTTAAGTGTCTGTGCAGCCCCACATGGTTGGCCTCCAGGTAGTGTGAGGGGAGACAGTGCAACACGTGTGGGCCAGTGTCCGCGTTTTGTTACTGATGACGTGCCTTGTGTTTCCTCTTGGTTCTCTGCACGTCCCCATCTCTCTGGGAGGCTTCCCCACAGACATATTCCCACTCTCTGCTCAGATTCCACACGTCCAAGTCCAGACTCTCTGCAGGTCTTGGAGCCTTGGGCTTCCCTCTTTGGGGCACTGGTATCCTCAACTATCCCACCTTCTGGTCAGCCACTAGACTTGCTGCTTCTTCCTTCTAAATGTCCCTGGAACCCCCTGACTCTCGTCAATCGCTACTTCCCCAGTGGAGGTCCTCTCCTGCGGTGCCTGGGACTGGGAAGCTCTGACCAGAGATGTTCTGGCCTCCACTTTTTCTCTTCCAATTCTCACTGGGCAAGAGGCTAGAACGGTCTTTCCAAAAGACTACTTTGTGCATGTACCTCCCCCCCGCCCCCCACCAAAGTCTCCAATTACTGCCTAATGGACACCGTCTATGCACTCTGGTCTTGCACTCCCTTTTTCCCTGGGTTTGGCCAACCTTCCCTTCTAAGTTGATCTCCCTCTGCTCTGCGTGCTCTTGGCACCAGCCAGATCAGTCTACGCACTGTGGTGGGGTTCTGGTGAGGAAGGACAAAACCATGGTGAGATTTTGTCGAGGACCTCACCTGTCTGGCTGTGGATGCCTTAGCCTGAGGGCTGGGCTAGGTGCTGGGAGGGAATGTTTGTTTCTTTGCACGCTAAGGCCTTAGCGAGCTTTAGGTCTTCCCCCTCAGGAGAGCGTTCAGAACACCAGTGGCCCCAGGGGCAGCAGATGCTGGGTGTCCTCTCCTAGAGTTTAGGCAGAGGGAGAGAGGCTAGGCTGGGAAGTACAGCCTTTCTTCTGGAGGCATGCGTGTGCGCGCACGTGAGTATACACACACAGGAGTGTTGTCACTGCAGACTGATATTAAAACTGAAAAAATCTAGGGAGACTCTTTGGGGAACTGGTCACACTGGAAGACGGAAGTAAAAGTCTCTTAGACACCAGAGACCGCCTGAGGTAGGGCCTGGAGATTATTCAGTCAAGAAATATTTCCTGGTGTCATCCATATTTTAAGCAGCATGTTAGGTGCTAGATTCTGCTAATTTTCGGTGAAAGGCTGGACATCTATGGGAAGAAAACCTTAGTTTCCTGGTCCCTTTCAGTTCCAGGTGCTGGAATTCTGATGACAGACTGACTTGATTTTCCCCATGACTTGGAGAAAGGACAGGTTTCATCTGTCCTGGAAGGAGATCATGTGGACACAGCTGTCTGGGGACAGGGAGGAGGGGCCCGAACTGGATGATCGCCAGTGTCCCAGTTCAGAATTCTTTACCAGGCAGAAGCCGGACATACAAGGATCATAGCATCTCCTTTACCTTATTCCTACATCAGGACAGAGAGAAGTGGTAAGAGGTACCATCTCAGAAACAACTTCCTTAGTGAGTTGCATACAACTTGTTCAATGGGGCCCCCAGTAGACAGAAAGAGCGCCGGCTCTCAAAGGAAATAACCTTGACGCAAACACCTTCTTACAGGGTTGAATGTGACAGTAGAGGAATTCTGTCTTCTGACAGGGTTGGCTGGGGAAATACAGTTCCTGCTGCTGTCAGCCCCGCCGGCCTTCTCTGCTCCCCACTTACCTGGTTGTGGACAGTGTTCAGCTGGTTGTTGAAGGTCATGGTCAGGTTGGTGGATGTGCTGGGGGCCACGTGAGTGATGAAAGGGGTTTTGCTCTGGTTCACGGTGTCATACATATTCACCCGACGCTTGCAAATCTCCATGTTCTGGAAACATGATTTGACGCTGTTCATGAGAAAGGCAGAGACGGAGGTATAAGGGAAAGAGAAGAGGGTAGCATGGGATAAAGGGGAGAAAATGGCGAGAGAAAAGGAGAGAACAGTTAATCTAGTAAACAAGACAAGTGGGGAAACTTTAGTCCTAAATTTCCTGGATTTCTCATGTAAAGTCTGCGTTTGTACAGTTAACGTTATTTAGGTAAGTATCACCCTGTCTTACTGCCTTTTCTCCCCAGCCTGCACAGGCAACGGTTCTCCACAGCACAACAGACCTGATGGCTCTCGCTGCATTTTCCTCATATCGCTGATCTGTCTCCACCTTCCCTGCTCATTCTCAGCTTCCAGTATGCTTTCTGGCCCATAAACAAATGTGTAAGTTCTCATGCATGACCTGCTGCCACCTTCCACAAAGACAACTCCTTGCGCTAATCCTTCCCAGCGAGTCTGGGGCACCAGCGCCATCTAGGGGTCAGCCAAGGAACTGGCCAACCCAGTATCATGACCCTGTTACCCACTTTCTCCGCACCGGAATTGGGCATGTAATGAGAACTGTAATGATATTAATAATTAGTAATAGTGGCTGACAGTGACAGAGAGCTGTGGTAGTTGTGTGCAAGATCCTTGCACTCAGTCCTACAACAACCACGAGAAGGAGAGATGAGTGGTGCCCCTATTTTAGGAGTAAGGATGAGGTTTAGAGAGGACAGGTAATCTGCCAAGGGCAAGAGCTAATTACTGACAATCTTCACATATACATATACATCCTCTTGAAATATAAGTGCAACCAAGTTCGTGAAAGTCCACCATAAAGTGTTCTTCAGAATTTATACCTTGTTTCTCAGTTTGTGTCTTCTTCTAATTAAACTTACTTTTCCTCAAATGCTAATATTCAAAATAAAACAGCATTTAAAGTTCAGTTTTAAATACTTATTTAATTATAATGTAATAACTGTATATAAATATAATAATTTTCTACTATTTTAAGATTGCAAAGGTAATACTATTTCTGCATTCTATAGGTAAGCTATGTTTTGGGCCAAGCAGGTGCTTGTGGGCCACCCCAAAACATCCTTCCCATAAAAGATGCTCCAAACAGTCTTAGACATGCCAGAGACTCCGCTTTCTTTCGGAGTTAAGAATTATTTACATTGGCCACACAATGCACACAAAATCATTTACTGACTGCAGACCCTGGAGAGAAAGGAAAACGTGCCCTACAGTAACCAATAGCTAAAAAAACTAATAATGCTGGTAAGGCCAGCATGTTCTGAGCATCTGCTAAGTACCAAACACACTGCTAAGTGCTTTCCTATAGAGGCTGAAGGAATAAAAATATAGGTTTTATATTCCCTTTGGAACGTATGGAAAGCACTCAATAATTTTGTGACAATTCAACCAAAAGCTTTTAGACTCAGAATTTTCTAACTGAAATGTCTTGGCAGTTGCATTTTGGGTTACTTCTATGAGGCTCGTTTGTAAGAAACTTGTGCGCTAGAATCCTGGTATGGAGAAATGGGGGGGCCTCTTTCACGTCTCAGTCTAGATCAGTGATGGCGAACCTTTTGAGCTCGGCGTGTCAGCATTTTGAAAAACCCTAACTTAACTCTGGTGCCGTGTCACATATAGAAATTTTTTGATATTTGCAACCATAGTAAAACAAAGACTTATATTTTTGATATTTATTTTATATATTTAAATGCCATTTAACAAAGAAAAATCAACCAAAAAAATGAGTTCGTGTGTCACCTCTGACACGCGTGTCATAGGTTCGCCATCACTGGTCTAGATGTTGGGGCAGCTCTGGCCCAGTCCCAAAGGTGGGGTCTACAGCAGGGTGGGCCTGGAGGCTTCTTCTCGCCCTGGAGTTCTCCTGGTCTTCTCAGCAAGTTCTAGGGGCCCTTAGGGATTAGGCCTACTCTCAGGGAAGCCTCGGTGTGCTCAAAGACCTGCTTTTCCTTCTGAGGCCCATTTTCTGAGTTATAAATTGTCAGTGGTCCTCTTGGGACCCACACCAAGATCTGAATTTGAAGCTGATGCTCGTGGTCTCCCCGCTTGGTCTTCACCAAGTACAGTGAAGCACTAGTGCTGCTTCCTCATGGAACCCAGAGTTGGACAGGACCCAGCAGTCATGCAGCCGTGACTCTGACTTTATGTGGGTGATTGTCTCACTGACAGATGGCTAATGCGAACCCACTGGAGAGCACCCCTCCATCTCCTATCCATAGCTCTTTCTCAGTCACCCCACTTCACTCCTGAATATAAAGTGATCCTTTGGGAGCTTATTCAGTAAATCACCAAGTCTGGCTTCCCTCTGTGGGACCGAATGACACCCCCCTGAAGCACTCCTACCACACCCAGAAACAGGACAAGTACCACAACAAGAGTTTGCAAGGAATGGGTCCAGGTTCCTTCTTTGTACTGGACTTCGGTTGTTTCAAACATGGTTCTAAATGAAAGACTCACTGTTTGTTGTAATGAGATTTGACTTGCTTAACATCAACTGATAAAGAACAGAACTGAAATTAGAGGATGTGCCGACTGTGGCGGGCGCCACCAGTCACTTCTTGTAGGCTGGCTAAGGTCAAGTCCAGCCTGAGATTCAGCCCAATATGAGTCTTGTCATGGCAGGTCAACCATGATCTGCAAATGTCTCTCTTCCCCAGCCTCTTCTCACACATTTCCCCTTTCCCCTGAGCCTCTCTAATCTGGCGCTCGTGGGCACACTGCTTCTCCCTGCAGACGTCCAGGGATGTGACTTTCATCCCACATACCTCTGGGTTGAGTGGCTGAAGTGATATCCCTGGTTACCCTGTGTTATGAATTGAACTGTGCCCTTCCCCCCAAATTCATATGTTAAAGTTCTAACCCCTGTACTTGAGAATGTGACTGAATTTGGAGATGGGATGTTTAAAGAGGTAAAATGGGGTCAGCAGGGTAGGCCCTAGTCCAGTTCATATTGAGGAGGAAGGAAGACCATGTGAGAACACAGGGAGGAGACAGCCATCTACAAGCCAAGGAAAGAGGCCTTAGGAGAAACCAGCTCTGCCAAACCCCTTGATCTTGGACTTCTAGAATTGTAAGAAAACAAATTTCTGCTTTTTAAGCCCCTCGGCCCCTCAGTGGTATTTGTTATCGCAGACCCTGAAAACTAGTACTGTCTCCCATTCTTGCCATGGCCTTTTCTCTTGCCCTCACTCACCGGGCCTGTGCCTCCGACCCAGTCTTTCACTTTAACACATGCCCTGCCACCGAGGGACTCTTCAAGGGACACACGGATTACCTGCCGGACACCCTGGCTTCTCAGTTACTTCTCACCCTGGGGCTCAGTGCCGGCTGTGGGTTCTTTGGACTATCAAACCTGATACTGCTCCACTCCCCCAGACCACACATTCAAGTACCCCGCCCCCAGCCACATTGTCACCCATCTGGTTCATCTGACAATTACTAAAATAGCCAGTCTGAGTTGATCAGACTGTTCAGTGTCTCTGGACCTTCTCATCTTCCTTTCCTTTTCAGCTAAGGCCCCATAGCCATCCATTGGGATTACAATGCTCTATTCCAACATCATGAGTCTGTCAATCTCTCTTTCTCTTAGTAGCCTGACAAAACTCCAACCTGGATGAACCCAACCCTCTCTTTTCTCCATGCCTTCACCTGGGGAGTTCAGTTACATCCTATTCTTCATGTCCAACCTCCATGCTCAACAATTCCACTGTATTTCTCTGTTCAATTTTCTCTGCCACCTTCTGCTCCAACTACCTAAACTCTCCTACCTAAACACCTTGCTCTCAACAAGAGAAGACAACTGTCTGAAGAGCTCCCTCAACTTTCCTCTGCTAACCCAGCACTCCAGCCAACGTCTGCGCCCTCCTTCATCCACGGTAACACTGGCCTAGTCCTCCACCTGTGCTCTGAGTCCAAGCCCCTTCCACCGTCTCAGGAAACTTCTCTTCTGAGCATCTTTTATCTTTAGTTTCTCACTTAGTACCAGACACTTCCAATCAGCATTTTCAAGTGCTCAAGTCTCTTCCTAAAGTCCCCTTGGGCCCTCCCCAGGCACCCCTCCATTTCTTCCCACCCCTTTCACAGTCTCCCTTCTTGAAAGGATCCTGTCTATTTCTTCACCTCTCACTCAGGCTTTCAACTGGCTAAGCTGGTTTCTGCTTCTACCATCCACCGAAACAGCTCTAAGTCACCAACAACTTCCAAGCTGCCAATGTGATGGCCATGTCTTCAGGGCTCATGAACTTGACACTTTAACCAGCCAGTTCCTTCTACAGGTCCTTCAACGACTCCCCATTGCTCTTAGGATCAAGACCAAAATCCTGTACGAGGAAGGCTCGTCCCGTCTGGTCCTGGGGCCTCAGCTCTCCCACTGTCCCCCAGCTCTTGGGCTTGGTCCTGTCCATGGCGAGTCTCCCCACAAGCAATACCCTTTCCGCCCTCGCCAGCCTTCCCATCAGTTACCTCTCACTCATCCTTCTGCACTCACTTCCTGCTCTGTCCCAAGTGAGGCTCCCTTGTCATTCGGTCTCATCACACCTTATATTTGCCCTGATATCAGCCTGGTTATTTGGGCATCACTAGTTTCGTACCTTTCTCTCTCCTAGACTGGGAAGGGGACCCATCTGCTTTGCCCCCCACTGTCCCCCAGCAGCTGGTACAGCACACAGCACGCTGAATGAATGAATGAATGAACCCAAATCCAAACTAGACAGAGTCCTTTCCGGAAGGGTCTGGGAGTGACCTCTGGCACTGAGAGTGGCTTTGCTTTGTGGACCCTGCCATTTTGAGCATTTCCCTCCATGCACAGACACCCAGAGTCCGGCCCACCCAGCCCTGGACTTGCCTAGGCTCCGCCACCTGTTTTTATAATAATGTTTTACTGGGACACAGCCTCACTCGTTTGTTTGTGTCTTGTCTGCATCTGCTTTCAGCTACAATGGCAGAGCTGATTGCAATGGAGACCATTTGGCTGCAAAGCCTAAAACATTCACTCTGGGGCTTTAAAGAAAAAGTTTCTGAGCCCTTGTATAGAGCACGGAGCAGGACACCTACTGTGTGCTATGAGGAAAGTCGAGTAAGTGTGTCATGGTGACAAAGGGGTGGTTCAGGGTTTCGATCGGAGTGATTCTCTTATCAGCATCGATGGTCAGCATCTTCTTTAACAGGTCGATGAACTCCCGCCGGTCTGCCTTTTCCACCAGCATGTCACTCCCTTCCAAGTCTGTGGTCATGTTCACCTGGAAGCAAGGAGGACAGGTTACCAAGACCCCGCTGGGCCTCCTCGACTCCCTTCTGCTCTGCAACTCCATCCGATCTCTCAATCCCCCTTCTCAATTCCTACAGGGCGGTGTCTGCCCTTTGAAGGCACCGCCACATGCCATTGCCGCCCACAGGATGTGGCAGGGCTTTCTGCGGGAAAGGCGGAGGGAGGCCACGCATGGGGAAGGGGCGGTCGCTGCCGGTACCTGCGACATACAGAAGTGACAGGATGTGCACCCTCTTGCTATAATCAGTTAAATCAAAATGCGCCTCACATCACACCTCATGGAAAAGAACCACAAGATGAAAAGAACTCTGAAGATTGTTTGTAGAACAGTGTAAATGAACCTAATACTACTGAACTGTACAGTTGAAAATGCTGAAATGGTAAATTTTGTGCTATGTTGTTTTTACCACAATTCAAAACAACCAAGCAGTACAAAATAAGATGCAAAAGGTTTATGTATTTAACCTTCGGAGGGAAATGCTGGGGCCTAAGTGCCCTCCCCCTACACCTACAGTGTGTCATCCTCTGTAGCTCCCTGAGTTAGGGCCGGATCATTTCAGTCCCTGTATTCACTGGGTCACCTCTGCCAGACAAGCAGGGTGTTTGCACAGGATTTTTCCTCCCAGATCAAGTCTCTACCAGCATAGCCTTTAAGAGACTTGTTTTGTGGTGCTTTCTACGTTTTCCAAGACATGCTCTGGAAAGCAATTTGTTTTCTAAGACAATCTAAGCTTCTAATCAACTGACAAGGATACTCTACTCGGTGTCATGATTTGGGGTTACACTTGTCTTCCGTAAGAGGGGTGCTGAATGTTTATTGATCTCTAGCTTTACTTCTCATTGCTTTTAAGAAAAATTCACTTTGGCTTGCCCTGATTTGAGACTAGTCTTTACACTAAAGATAGCTGAAGTTCTAGCACTTTCTCTGGGCACAAAAGTGAGAGCCTGTGACCCCTCCAGTGAGCTGAGAGAGACTGAGTGTGAAGCATGGGATTGTGTCCTTGCAAAAGACATGTTTAAGCCCTAATGCCCGGCACCTGTGAATGTGACCTTATTTGGAAATAGAGTCTTTGCAGATGTGATCCAGTTAAAATGAGGTCAAACTGGAATAGGGTGGGCCTTAAGTCCAATGACTGGTGTCTTTATAAGATAAAGAAGAGGGAGGTTTAGATGCAGAGACCAGAGGAAACACAGGATGAAGCCATATGAAGAAGGAGACAGAGATTGGGGATGCGGGGACACTGACTCCATCCAGGGGCCACCAGAAGCCAGCAGAGAGGCATGGGACAGTTTCTTCCCAGAGCCTTTCAAGGGAGCATGGCCAGTGGTGCTTTGATTTGAAACTTCTAGCTTCTAGAGAATAAATGCCCGTTGTCTTAAGTCCCCCAGTTTGTGGTCCCTTGTTACGGCAGCCCTTAGGAACTAACACTGAGTCAAGGGCATTAAGCTCAAATGTACTAATGGGCTTAAATTCTTCTCATGAAAACGTCAGTGAGACTGGCCAGGACTATTTCGCAAATGGGAACCAATAAACTGAAGCTATTTTTCAAGAGCTGGTGTAAGGCTTTAACAATGTCCTACAAACCCATTGCTATTCTTACTCAGGCTGGCAGGTCATGAGGTCAAGGTCAACCATGGCAGTTGAGTAATGTGGATTTCTACTCACCACCGTCTATTGCTCTTGCAGAAGCCTTGCTGTGCTTGGTTTTTAAGGGCTGACATTGCATGCTCGCCCACGGAGCTTACCTGGGCCATGTCATCTAAACAGTTGAAAATGTACTTTCTTGCTTCTTTTGACTTAATCCCCGTCTCTGCTTCATGGTCATCTGGTGTCTGGTCAAGAGAGGCAAAAGCCGATTGGTAATGTGAATTACTTCCTGGTCACTGTGACTTAAAACCTCTACCCTCTGTTTCTCATGGCGGGCCTTTTCCTACCTTTTGGAGAAGGAGACTTTGATTCCTCTTAAAGTGACCTGCACACTAATTACTCTCCCTCTTCATCCTCCACACTCACTCATCTCTCTTCCTTCCTTCCCACCAACACCTGTTAGGGAGCCTGCTCTGAGTCAGGTCTGGAGGATTCCAAGATGAACAAGGAATGCAGTATCCATGAAAACCCTACATTTCCCCCTACTGTAAGGGATATGGTAAGATTCCATATGTGGGAAAGCAGAAGGCCCTTCCACACATTTTAAAATTTAATTTAATTTTTTATCAAATGTTTATGCATATAGCTCTCCCTACGTGCCAGGCACTATTATAAAGCACATGAACTCATTTAAGACACTTTACAACCATCTTAGACAGGATGATTACCGACCCATTTCCAGAGGGAGAAACAGGAATAGAAAGCTTAGGAGCTTGCCACGGTCACATGGCCAGGAGGCAGCAGCAGCCTCTGGGCTGTTCTCTGCTGCCCCTCCGTCTGGGTCCGGGCACACTCGGCCAGGTCCCCATTGGCCTTGGTCTAGGAAGCCGCTGTTTCCAATGACTATGTGTTGTTGTTTTTTTGTTCGTTTGTTTTTTGTGTGTGTGTGGTTTTTTTTTGCTCATCCATGGATCTCAGGTAAGTAAACCTCGAAATCTCATTCCGGGACAGCACACGTGGAGCAGCTAAGATCTAGGCTTCGACCCTGGGGACAAGTAGGACCGAGGCTCTTACCTGAGATATGGACATGAACCCTGCCCGTCTGGCCTCATTCTCCGCCACCAGGACTCTTTTTACTGGACTGACCTTAAGCCTCTCACCTCACAGTCACCAAATGCCAGCCCTCCCACCAACAGACCAAGAGTGCTCGCTTAGCTCCCAAATCTCTCTTCTAAATCTTTTGTGACTCTTGGCCACACATGACCTTTATTTTATTGATTTTTATTGAATTTATCAGGGTGACACTGGTTAATAAAATTATACAGGTTTCAAGAGTACAATTCTATAACACATCCCCGTATACTGTATTCTGTGCTCACCATTCAAAGTCAAGTCTATTTCCCCTCATCCCCCTTCCCCTCTGATAATCACCATACTGTTGTCTGTGTCTGTAAGTTTTCTTTTAAATATATATATTTTTTATTGATTTCAGAGAGGAAGGGAGAGGGAGGGAGAGATAGAAACATTAATGATGAGAGAGAATCATTGATTGGCTGCCTCCTGCACACTCCCTACTGGGGATCGAGCCCACAACTCGGGGATGTGCCCTTGAACGGAATTGAATCTGGGACCCTTCAGTCTGCAGGCTGACACTCTATGTACTGAGCCAAACCAGCTAGGGCATGTAAGTGTTTTTCTTTTTTTGCTTAATTCCTTCACTTTTTTACCCCAGCTCCCCAATCCCCCTCCCCTCTGACAGTGCCAGTCTGTTTTCTTTATCTATGAGTCTGTTTCTATTTTGTTTATTTTGTTCATTAGATTCCACACATTATCTTTAAATCATATTAGAATTTGGCTGTGGTTTCTGTCAAAAACCAAACAAAATAAAAACACCCACCCACTCTCTTGCAAAAAAGGAAGCACCTAAAATGAACATAAAACACTGAAGACTAGCATTCTTTTCTCCCTCCCAGGAAATTACGTTAATTTTTAACTACGAGGCACAGATAAAAGTGAAAGCAAAACATGTTTTTGTTGAAGCAAAACCACCCGAGTTCCTGGTGTGCAACGGTGAGTGGCAGCACCTGCGGGCTGGACCAACAGACCCCTCCTCGGGGCCTCGGAGGTGTGGCTGCCGGGGCTGTTTCCTGGGCGGGAAACCCTCCTCATCTTAGGGCCCGGCTCAAAAGCTCCTCAGGGGCCCTCGCCACAGGCAGGGTTCAAGGTCCCCACTTACATGGCATTTACATAGGGGCACGTGCTTGGTCTCCCTCTGGACGGGGAGCTCCTTTAGGGCAGGGGGTGGTGCATTTCTCTCTTTACACAAACCAGACAGGTCATCAGGGTTCACCTCATTAAATCCTGGGAGTTCAGCAGTCGGAGCTGGGACTTGAGCTTTGCAGGTGGCAGCGGCCAAGCAAAGTGGTGCTTTTGAACATTGAAATTCATCCACACCACATATCACAACAGCCCTCTCCCACCCATGCGGGCTGCAGTCAAAAGCTCCCCTCGAACTGCCCCACCCTTTCCCCTGAATGCTGGGCCTTGGTGAGGGATGGAGGGGACGCTCTTCCTACCTTCAGCCTCCACAAAGGATACGGTGAGTCCGTGTCACGGTTGAAAAACCTAGTTGTCTTTGTCCCTGCGCTTAATAAATATTCAGCTGGCAAACCCTGTGTTTGTGAAATATACCGAATCTGCAAGAAAAGAGGAGAATGAGGTCAGAGCGTTTCCTGTCACCTTGCATGTGGTATATTAATGGCTTTAGTGCCTTTGAGAAAAAAGACAATGTTATAGGGAAAGAAAGAAGTGAAAAATGAAAAAGGGGAAAGAAAGAAGAATATAGAGAGAAAAGCAAGGTTGAGGGAAGCAGGGTTTGGGAGACGACATAAACCCCATAACCTCGCCCGCGTGTCCCGTTCTAAATGAAACAGGAGCGACTGTCCTGAACACCTGTGCGGCCTGGACCCACCTGGTCGTACTCTGAGGCGCCTGGGTAGAGCGGCCAGCCCAGGAACAGCTCCGCGATGACGCAGCCCAGGGACCACATGTCAATCGCCTCACAGAATGGTAAACCAAGGATGATCTCAGGGGCCCTAAGAACGCAGAGAGGAAGAAAGCATTAGCAGTTTAGAAATGCAGGAGCTACTTCGACATGAACTCTACATAAAACCCCATCCGTGAACCCCCAGGGCCTGTGGTTCCCACACTGTGTGGCAGTGATGCCTCCCATCTCGGCTCGGTCCTCCCGTGAGCAGGGGGCCCGGCCCTGGCTGCTCTGTGGCTCCAGAACAGACCCAGAGGGAACCAAACTGCTGACTCCATCACCATCCCACTCCCACCAGAGGAGCTAAGAGCCACTTCAGAGACACGCAGGAGCTTTCCTTTGTAAGAAAACTCAGGCAACCAATGTCTACAGAACACCCAGGTTTTACAAAGGAATTCTGAAATACAGGCATTCTATTTTCAATAATATATCATATAAAACAAGAGGCCTCCCCAGAATAATGGGGTAAACTATAATATCCGTCCATGCCAACAATCCCTTCCTTAGGAGTTTGTATCCCACTTTCCCAAGGAAGTACTGTTTTTTTCATTAGCTTCTAAAAAGTTCACCGTCCCTGGCTGGGTAGCTCAGTCGGTTAGAGCGTTGTCCTGATACAACAAGGTTGCAGGTTGGATCCCGGGTCAGGGCACATACGAAGATTAACCAATGGATGCATCCATAAGTGGAATAACAAATGGATGATTCTCTCTCTTTCCCTCTCAAATCAACAAATAAAAGTTTTTTAAAAAGTTCTCTAATATCACAATTACAGAGCCATGCTCATGGATACATAGTCTGATGTCAGTCAGAAGCGCACTCGGACCCGCTGCTGTGAGGTGCGGGCTGAGCTCCCGGAGAAGAGCACCGGACCGCAGAGAACATCTCACACAGTCAGTCCCCAGAAGCAGAGAGCACAGTGCATCTTCTTTTCTGAGAATCTGCCATAAGCAGGTAGGGGTTCGTTTTGGAGAAAACCAAGTTCAAAGCATGAGATATGAACGCAGCTTGTGTTTGTTTCTAAGATGTGGCTCAAGGCACTCCTCTGTTCATGACCCACATTAGCCCAACTTCTGTTTCCTCCAGAAATGTCCGCCTGATGAAGCGATGAAGAAAGTGCTGCTCTCCTACCCTTCCAGCAGCGGGGGTGGGCGAGGGAGCTGGGAGGAAGGGCGTGATCAAGACCACCTCCACTTGCCTTGCCATTGGGAGCTGATTTCACCCACTCACAGCACCTCCCCACCTTGCTCCTCTACATTTGCTCTCATTGCTCATCTTTTTCATCCAGATAACAGTATTGAACAATCAAAACCAAAACCAAAGCGTCTTATTACAAAGTCTTGATTGTTCACATGTAAAAAGGAGTTTGTGTGCTGGGCGCTGGTAGAGAGCCACAGCCCTCATCTGGGCTGCAAGACGTGCTTTTCCCACAATGCAAGGCTGGTCTTCCCAGGAGGGAGTTATTGTGGAGGGGGGTGAGCTGCCTCGGGACTACTTCTTGGTCCTGTCCTGTCCCTGTCCCCTCACTCCCGGGCATCTTCTGCCAGCACCTGGCCCCTCTCTAGTCCTGGTCTCCTGCAGTCCTGGTGGTGACCATTTGTGTGACCACGGCAGGCCGCTCCTGTCCTCTGGCACTGATGCCCGGGGGTGCCTGTGATGGTTTTAGGTCACTGCTGGTCTGTCCTGTGTCATGGGGCCTTCGATCCCATATCGGCCTAGGTCACTGTGTCCAGTGTGCCCACACACACCAGGGCTTCCGAGCCACCTGACCACTGCGTGCAATTGATGGGATTATTGCAGGCTGCCTCTAGCCATGCAATCTCTTTAGAGATGGTTTAAAAACCCACATCCCTTAGAAAAGAAGCAATCTCTGAAAAGAACATTAGAGAGAAGACGACACGTTTGACGACAGGTGTCTGCCTCACTGTGGTAGAGTCTGGTGTGCCTGCCTGCTCCCCTCGCACGCAGGCTCAGGAGCCTTCCTGGGAGAAGAGTCCTGGTGGGGAGCCCTCCTCTGCAGGCTGCTGGCTCCAAAGCACGCATTTCTGCACCTGCCCCCTATTCCTGTCGCCTGTGCCTTTGCCCTCGGTGGCCAGACACTCCCGTCTCCTGGTGGGTCTGAAGAACAGGCTGGTCTGGTTTCATGGGGCATCTCTGGATGTGACCATGGGGCTGCTCTTCCTAGGAGGTCAATCAACTGTTCTCATGGCCCTAAGCAACCCGTTTCCCAGTTTCTGTTCCCTGAGGATGTGCCAGGCAGAACCTAACAGATGAGTCTGTCTCATAGAGGGCACCTCAGAAATGTTCTCTGGCGAGAACACCAGACAAGGATTTTGTCAGCTGACGTTCCACGAACAGCGCCTGTGGAAATCACTGTTAGTCCTTTCTCCATTAGAAAATGAAAGAACAGCCGTTCGTGGTGCCAGGCTGTGTACAGGATATTTTTCTTGCCATGACCATAATGAATGAGTGTCAGGCTAGACGGTTGGTAGACGAGAGAAATAGAGGGCACAGTCCTGCCCCTGAGGGGCCTCAATGCTGGGAGGCAACGTGAGAACACACGTGATAACGAAAACTGAATACAAAACACACACAATGTAAACACACAACACGAAGCTAGAGCTAATTTAAGCACACAAACGTGCTCTAGCATCGCCCTTAAAAAAAAAAATAAAGCACAAACACAAGAACAAAACACACCAAAAACAAAACAAAGCCTTCCTTAATCCCTTCTTCTCCTGGCAGCTGCTGCCCTATTTCTCTGTTCTCCTTCCAAAGCCAAATCTCTAAGAGTGATCTGCCTTTTCCATGGCTTTGCCTCCCACCGTCTTCTCACCTCCTCCAACTGGGCTCCCGCCCTCTGCTCCACTCCGGTGCTGCGCTGGCCAAGATCAGCAGTGACCATGCTGTCACTTCCATCGGTCAACTTCTCAGCCCTGTGACCAAGAGCTGGATTTCTTTCACAGAGTCCACCATGCCCTCCCACACCCATCCTGCCTCTCGGTGGGTGGCTTGTCCATATTCTTTGCTGACTTGTCCTCAATCTGACTGCTACAAGATGGCAAAGTCCTAGGACCCCTTCTTTTCTCTTTTCATCCTTGCTCCAGAGATTGTCATGGGATAAATTGTGTGTCCCCCAAAAGACGTGTTGAAATCCCTTAGAACAGTGGTTCTCAACCTTCCTAATGCCGTGACCCTTTAATACAGTTCCTCAGGTTGTGGTGACCCCCAACCATAAAATTATTTTCGTTGCTACTTCATAACTGTAATTTTGCTACTGTTATGAATCGTAATGTAAATATCTGATATGCAGGATGTATTTTCATTGTTACAAATTGAACATAATTAAAGCATAGTGATTAATCACAAAAACAATATGTAATTATATATGTGTTTTCCTATGGTCTTAGGCGACCCCTGTGAAAGGATCGTTCGACCCCCAAAGGGGTCGCGACCCAGAGGTTGAGAACCGCTGCCTTAGAACATGACCTTATTTGGGAATGGGGTTACTGAACATGTAATTAGAAAGAGGATGCCATACTGGAGTAGGCTGGGCCCCTAGTCCAATATAACTTGTGTCCTCATAAGAAGCAGGAAATCTGGGCATAGGCGCAGAGGGAAGACAGCCATGGGAGGGCGGACGCAGGGACAGGAGTCATGCTGTCACAAGTCAAGGGATATCTGGAGCCACCAGAGCTGGAAAAGGCAAGGAAGGGTCCTCCCCTACAGGCCCCAGAGGGGAGATGTCCCAGCCACCACCTTGATTTTGGACTTCCAGCCTCCAGAAAATAACTATCTGTTGCTCTAAGTCATGCATTTTGTGGAACAATTTCCATGGCCCTAGGAAACAGGTATAGTAATCGTACCCATATCCACAGGTTGAAATTCCATTTGTGTGTGTGTGTGTGTGTGTGTGGTTTTTATTTAATTTTTTAAAATATATTTTTATTGATTTCAGAGAGGAAAGAAGAGGGAGAGAGAAACAGACACATCAGTGATGAGAGAGAATAATTGATCAGCTGCCTCCTGCATGTCCCCAATGGGGGATAGAGCCTGCAACCCGGCCATGTGCCCTTGACCGGAACTGAACCTGGGACCCTTCAGTCTGCAGACCGATGCTCTATCCACTGAGCCAAACC